GACTCAAGCATCCCTTGAAGCTCTTCCTTCGTTAATGCTGACAAGTCTTTCAACTCTTTTATGGCTACTACCACGTGGTCGAACTTTGGAGCCAGTGACCTCAAGATCTTTGCGATTCATACGTTGAAAGACTTCTCCACATACCTTGATTTGATTCACCAATTTAGTAACCCTAGTGAAGAAATTATTATGATTTCACTTTCTTCCATCTGAAGTAATTCATACGTCCTTTTGTGAGTTTGTAACCCCACCTCTTTCACCTACTCTATGCCTCCAAACGATTTCTCCAAGATTTCTCATGCTTCTTTCGCTGATTCTACATCACTAACATTTTTAAAATTATCTAGATTAACACATTGATGGATTATAAAGAGAGCTTTATAATCTTTCTTCTTCAATTCTTTGTATGCAACCTTTTCTTGATCTATCGCATTTTCTGCAAGCGATGCTACTCCTCTCTTCACAAGATCCCAAAGATCTTGATAACAGAAAACCACCTTTATCTGCTTGCACCAATTCTCATAATTATTGTTCTTGCAAATTGGAAGGTTCGACGGAAAATGTGTGTTTGGATGATTCAGCGCCATCGTGATTTTCTTCCCTTGAATCACAACCGGAGCTCTAGATACCAGATGTTAGAATTAACCCAAAATATTTTGAGAATTCCTAATCAATCTTGATGAACAAGGTTCAATCAATCTGATCAAAACCCTTGTTCTTACTATTCACTTGAGTGAAACAATCAATCTTGATTGCAAGAAAGATTACACGTTGCAATTTAATGGTAGAAGAAAGAATGAAGATTAAACAAGATGATTAGGGCAAGACAAAAATAAGATAAGAGATTTTTCTACAGAGCTTCTCTCTGCTTCCAAACTGAAAATTTCTTATTCACTTTGCAACAACAAAAACTGTGAATTCAAGTTATTACAAAATAGGGGTTACTCCCTCTATTTATTATAGAAGAAAGCCCAGAATTATAAAAGTCCAAAAATTACTATTTTTGGTCTAAGTTGAGATTTCGTGTCAAGCAACCTGCTTTGACACTTCAACATCTAAACAACTCAAAAAACACACACACATTAGGCTAATTCGACTAATCCTTATTTTTTTCAAGCAACCTGCTTTGACACTTCAACATCTAAACAACTCTCTAATTCTCACCACACCTTAGCTCCTACTCAATCCACCCCTCACTCCCTAATTTTTAAAATAATTTTCACGCTGATCACGAATATGGAATCAAATTTATCAAACAAGTTAAGATTCATGAGAATAAGGGGGAAAATGGGCAAATACATAATGGAAAATCGTTCGATCCGACCAAAATACATAATCAAACGCAAAACTAATTACATATTCGTGATCAGCGTGAAAAACCAGTTCAAATGGTATATGAGTTTGCAATTTATTGTAACAGATATTTTTAAACTTAACATAAAGGACCAAAGCGTTACAAAAAATACCTAAAGGACTAACTTGATATTTTAAAATAACTTAAAGGACTAAAACAATATTTTTGCCTAAAATTAAATAACTAAAGTTGTGATGTTACAAATTTTCAACATAACTTATAGGCAAAAATATTGTTTTAGTTCTTTAAGTTATTTTAAAATATCAAGTTAGTCCTTTAAGGTTTTTTTGTAACGCTTTGGTTCTTTATGTTAAGTAACGTATGCGTCGTTGACCTTTTTAAAAATCTCTGTTACAATAAATTGCAAACTCATATTCCATTTGAACTGGTTTTTCACGCTGATCACGAATATGTAATTAGTTTTGCATTTGGTTGTGTATTTTGGTTAGATCAAACGATTTTTCATTATGTATTTGTCCACTTTTTTTCTTGAATCTCATGAACCGTAACTTGTTTGATAAATTTGATTGCATATTCGTGATCAACGTGAAAAACCAGTTCAAATGGCATATGAGTTTGCAATTTATTGTAACCGAGATTTTTAAAAAGGCCAACGACGCAAACGTTACTTAACATAAAGGATCAAGTCGTTACAAAAAAAACTTAAAGGACTAACTTGATATTTTAAAATAACTTAAAGGACCTAGACAATATTTTTGCCTAACTTATAATATTGCAAAACTTTGATAAATATTTATGATTGGTATCTTCATATTTTTCGCCTCGTGTGTTCATCTTCTCTTGTTCGATACTTGAAGAAACTTTATATATCATTTCAAGAGTATGTCACATTTTCTTGGTGGTGTTACAATGATGAACGTAATAAAATTTTCTATCATTTAGATCCAAAGTTATAAAGCTCTTAGGTTTAAAATTTATCTCAAACTTTCTCTTCTCTTCTTCGACTCAAAGGGAATCAGATTTATCTACTACTTCATAATTTACTTGATGAGTAGGGATAAACGGACCATCGATTATTGTTTCCCATAATTCAGAATTTATGCTCTGAAGAAAAATTTTAAACCTAACTTGTCAAATATTAAATTTACTATCATTGAAAAGTGGTGTTGTGTTTAAAAAATGTCTCCTATAGGAAGTCATCTTCCTTTTGATATGATTAGTCCATAAACAAGACTTAGGATTTGATGCCACTTGTTGGACTTGAGACTTCACACACATGAGGGAGGGAGTGAACTGTGTGGTTCAGAAAAATATTTTAAAAATATTTGAAAAATAAAATCAAAGTTTAAAAACACTTTTTAATACTAAGCAGCAGAAATATAAATTGCAGAAAGGTAAAAAAAATTAATGGAAAAGAAGAACACCAAAAATTGTAGAGGTTTGGTCAAAATAAAAGGACCTACTTCTCTCACAAAGAATTATATCAATTACTTTTCAAGTTCCTTAAACCTTGCAAGCTTTTACACGGGTTGAGCTCACGAACCTTAAACCTTGGTTTTATACGGGTTGACTAATAACCTATGAGATTTTAATATCAGACTAATCTTGAACCTATGAACCTTTTAATATCGAGCCGAGTTTTAACCTATAATGGTTTTAATATCGGGCTAACCAAGAACCTATGAGATTTATAACGGGCTAAAATCGGAACTGAATCGCACAATCCCAAACCAAATTTTTTTACGGGTTTAACTTCTAACCCACAAATAATTTCTAAATGGATAATATTCAACCAGGGTCTATACAAAAGATTTCCTTGGTAAATTTACAATCCCACCCTTCTAGAATTACTGAATGATCTCATTCACAAAAAGATTTTTCTCACAAAGACATTATGGTTAAAATATTAGTGAGAGAAAGTAACTAAAATGTTTAGAGAGAGAGAGAAGTCTGAGTCCTACGTGAGGGACTCCCTCACTTTTTTCGTCTCTCCATCCTTCCCCCTTGCCAACATGTGGCCAGTCTGATGGCCATTTGATCCGTTGACTCCCCATTTAGTTTTCTGACCCTTGTACTCAGCCTCTTTAGCTCGTAGCGCGCGCCATCTTATCTGTCCTTTAGCTCAATTGGTCATTGCATCCTAGTGTTGAGGTTGAGTTAACTATGTTGACTCCTTCCTATCCAGTTTGGATCACGCGCTGGGTTTTTGTTGGGCATGAGTTACTATTACTGCCTCCTTTTATTGCTTTTCAATTTTCAGTTTATATATATATATATATATATATATATATATATATATATATATATATATATATATATATATATATATATATATATATATATATATATATATATATATATATATATATATATATATATATATATATATATATATATATATATATATATATATATATATATATATAGAGAGAGAGAGAGAGAGAGAGAGAGAGAGAGAGAGAGAGTTGTATCAAAACACGATTTAGGATGAGATGAAATGAGAAAAATGACCTCTATTTATAGGCTAGATGTTGCCTCAAAAGGAATTTCAGATAAATTTTTTTTTTTATGATAATCTAATCGATTGACATATGTTTGCAATCGATTAAAAGTTTAAAATATAATCTATTGTTTGTTTTAAAAATGAAGGAAAAGATATCTAATTGTTGCACATCATTAAGACGATGGTCTAATCGTTTGTGACTCAATTTTGAACTGAGCTAATTCATTAAACAAAAGTCTAAATCGATTGATAAGTCAAAGTTTTGCCTATAACAATTTTGACAATTCCTAATTCATCCAGTACAACTTCAAGATATTTTTGAAAATATTTTTTTTGGTAAAAACTATTTGAAAATATTTTTTTGTGTGTGCGTGCTTTAGCCATGCACTTTTACGATCAAGTTCTTGTGCTTTAGAATTTGTTCACTCACTCTTAAACTAAGGAGATCTTTTGCATTTCAAGACTTTATCAGACATTTTCTCTTTAATAGACACTTGTTTGAGTAACTTGAGATAATGCTTTAATTACATTTAAGTTGATTGACATTATGGAATAATCAAGTCCATTAAACTTTAATGATTAAATTTTCATCTTTATTCGTTTAATTATTTATATGACCTTATCATAAGACATTAATTGTCATGTTAAAAGTAAATATCTTTGTTACCCACTCCTAATAGTAGGAGTAAATAACTACCACTACCACTACGACTAAACTGTACTCATTAAATATATAGGATTTGTCACTTAAAAACGTAAGTGCTACTTACTAAAAAGTCTAACACAAAACTTCTCTATCAATGAGTCTGAGATTTCAAAAGATTATGATTGAAAAATACATCTATTAAGTTATTTTACATAACATTTTCCTCCCTCATTGATACATGTACAGGTAAGAGTGTAGTTTTCTTTGGTAATCCCTTCATAGAGTGAAGGTACTATATATCTTCATCAGAGATAACACAAATCCAATCCAACCACTAAACATGCCAGAACACTGCTTCATTCAGTGCCCATTAAAGAATAACCACTTTTTCTGTTTAAGAATTTCCTGGATGTTATAATTGCAATTCCTTTTCCTATCTGCAGATCATGAGGAGTCCACTACATTTACAACTGAGATTTGGGACTGTCTGAAGATCTTAACTCTCAACAAAATTTCATAACTAAGATGGTTGTGTTTCAGCTTTCTCCGGTAGAACCAGCATGTCTGCACTTCCATATCATTGGAGCTGCCAGCATCCATACTATCAAAACACATTGTTGTAAGATTAATAAGGGTATATATAAAGATCAGTTAATCCGAATTAATGAAAAGGAAAGCATTTACAATATTGATTTTCTTACAATAAACACAAACTGCCAGCCATTCATTTACTATTCTGACCCAAGTGCTGGTCCAGCCCACATCAATTGTCCATCTGTAGACGAATGAAGGCATACCAATGAATACTAAGAAACTATGCCGATAATATGATATGAGTCAAATACAGAAGGGTAGGAGATCATACTTTCTCATAGAATGATGACTGTTCCATCCAACCAATAGCATAGCGAAATACATTGCTCCCGTGGCAAAAACAAAATGGAAGAAGCCATAACCATATGGTACGTCATCCTCTGCTGGTGTATCGTCTTTCCGGAACTGCATGGATATGTAAGATACTTATTGGAGAACCAAATAATAAAATTCAAGCTAAATTCGAAGTTTATAAGTAACCTGGAAGCATTTGGAATCTATGCCTGTTGAAAATGTCGCGATAACAATTGCAAGTATTGCTACAACAAAACTCTGCCAACAACAGTCATTCTCATTTGTCAACCAACAAAGAAAATAAATGTATTTCAAGAGTTAGTTGCCATTTACCAAGCCATTATAAAGAATATATGATGATAAAAAGAGAGAGAAGTAATACAATGATGCTTAGCCAGTCTGTTTTGGTTGCAGAGTCTGACTTCCTGATGCAGTTTTCTCCAGCAGGTTCGCTGTATACAAAAATATTCCAACACTCAGAATTCAAAATAAGTAAAACTAGAAATAAAGAAAGGTTGCATAAATAAAAGTTGAACAAAGCCAAAAGCAAAACTGTTGAGCAAAAAATTGGTAGACCTGCCTTCGAATAGCGCACCAGCAAAGAAAGACGACGTAAAGCCCCATCAGGCTTGGAGTTAGAATGCCAGCATTAACCTATTGCAGATAAAATTGAAAATTCCAAATCAAGTTATGTTTTTTACGATAAAATGAATTGAGCGAGTAAGGATATGACCACAAATAGAACATACTTTCGGGTGCAGAGACGCGCTGGTCATGAGTTGGACAAGTACTAGTGTCCAAGTAATGAAGAAAATGTTGAGAAGGCAAGAAGGCTCAGGTGCATACCAAATGTACATCAAAATAATCCCCACCAAACAGACAACGTATGCAGTCGTTGCAAACAACATCACATGAATTTGGCTGCATGGAATTTGATGATTAATGCAAGCATTACAAAAAAACAGATTCTTGCACCTAATATTATCCGAAATATACTGATCAACTTGTTTTGTCAGGCCTATCAAAGCTTTACATGTGAAATTCGATCAAACGCACAAGCACAATATTCCATTGATGCTAAATTAGTAAATTAGCTGAAATAACACCGATCAGACAACAATTGGTTAAACCCCTCTAGATTGTCGAGTACTTTTAAGAAGCTTGTGTTTTTATTTTTCTCTAACTGAACAAAAATCTTACCAACGTGCTGCGTATTTTTCAGAAGCACAGCAATCATTGAGCCAGGTGATGAAGCTGATTATGCTTATTAGTTGAATTAGGAGAAAAACCCTGAAATAGAATTCGAGAAACACTTTGAACAATGACATGTTACTTTGAAGAAGAAAAAAAGTGTGATATGAAATGATTTATAAGATTAAGATGTAGAACCATACCCGGCACCAAAATGCGCTACCTCACCTGGCAAAAGAAATGTATCAAAGGAATGACTAGGTTACTACAGAAAACTTTTGATATGACACATGATGTATTTATACTAGGAGACATGTTGAAAGATAGAGTTTACTAACCATAAACTTGAATAAAGCCAGAAGGTAGAAAAAATGGTATGACAGTCATGACAACCCAGAAAGGAATCTTGACTAACCACCATCCAGAGTGCCATCTGTCTTTCATTTGGTTCAGTTTAGAAGTGCCAGCAGTTGACAAAAACATTATGATATAAAAAATCTGAACTTGGATTAAGGTTTACTTTTACATTGTAGGAATATGAGACTGACTTTACATATAAATGAATACGAATTGCAAACTCATAAGATTCTTAATTTCTTTCTGAACAGAGGTTATACAAAACCTATAGTGTCCAATTTCATGTATATAACTGCAAAGGATACAAAGCAACCCAAGCTCACACGCAAAACGCCTTCGGCGCCCAAACAGTCTTTTCCACCATTGCATCCTTTTAATCCTGTAGGAGCAACATATTAGATTTAAAGCCACTAGCATCATACAAAAGAAACATGCTCAATAGAACAGAAAGTTCTAAACTTACTCTCCATTTCTGTTAAAGCACCATGGCCATAGTCACGAGCAGCCCATGCCAAGAGGTTGGCCACCAGAAAAATCAAGGCATAGGCATATCTTGCCATCCAAGGATTGGATGCATTTCGGAACTGACTGAACCATGAAGAATCCTTGGTTATGATACACCGCTGGTTACCATTGTTGCTTTCCCCAGATTCCATAACTTCTTCAACACAGCAATGCTACACAGGACATGATTGAATGGAGCAGACAAGAAATGGACGTCATTCAAACCTGTAGTCGAATGTTCTAAAGAATCATCTTTGTCATGGGAGGTTGATTACGGTTAACTAATACTTCAAGGAAATAAAACAACAGTTATGATGCATAAGTATGAATACCGGACGAGTATAAATACAGAAAACCACTACATTTAAAAAAGGGTTAAATATGATTTTGTTCTTTGTGAATATCTCAAATTTCGTTGTCAATTCTTCAAAATATTTTCTTCAAAGAATGATCCTCTTAAATTTTTTCATCCACACTTTTGGTCCCTCATGCAACTTGACAACAAATTTCGCAACTTAGCAACTGAATTAGTGACGATTTATTACTTACATACTGAATTAGCGACAAAATTAGCGACAGTTTTAGCGATAATTTTAATATAAGGGACCAAAACTACATATAAAAAATTTTAAGAGGACCATTCTTTGAAAAAAATATTTGAAGGGACTAAAAACGAAATTTGAGATATTTAAGAGAACCACAAATATATTTAACCTTTTAAAAAATAAAAATAAATTAAATTTGTTTTAGTTGTTCACCAATAAAAAACAAATATGCCTAGTTAATAAAAAATAAAGTTTTTTATATAATGTAAATACAATTTTTTTATACAAAGGAATGCCTAAGCCCAATAGAAAAAATTAAAAAGAAAGTAGAAATATGAAATGCCTAGCGAGTCGCTGCTAATCAAATCTACTGTATTGTTTGGGCAGTTATCATACTACAGTAGAAATATGAAATGCCAAGCGAGTTGCTGCTAATCAAATCTATTATATCGTTTGGGCAGTTATCATACTCAATTGTACCTATATCATGACTCGAGCTCTTCTTAGCTAAGTCTGCACACACATTAACCTCTCTATAAATGTTAGTAAATTTTACCGTTCGCAATGAGGTTGTGGATTTGTCTCAACAAAAACATGATTATAAAAGTATAAAAAATCAAAAGTTATATTAAGTTAGAACAGAAAAAAATTAGAATACAAAATAATATTACTATTATATATATAAATTAAATTGTTCAATAAATATGTTGAATTGATAGTTCATAATTTTATTTTATTTTAATAAATGAAGTTATAACGGTATAGATAAAAATCAATTCAGCTAGTAGTTAGATTATAGATACATTTGAATGTATTAGAGTTTGAATTTGAAACACTACACTTATTTAATTTCTAAAGATAAAATTCTTACTATTAAAATAACTAGATAAAAATAAAATCAGAAATTTCAGTCAAAAGACATTAGAAAAAATAAAACACCAAGAGTACCGTATATCTAATGCACCATTCCAAAAGTAACGATGCTTACAAAACAAGTAATTTAAATTTTGTGGAGGTTTGCTGTAGTTAAAAGTAATCATGTGGTGGTTAAAACTAATCATGTGAGGGAAGAATAATTCTCTTTTTCATCATATTTATAAAAGATAATTGATTTTCTAAATTTATTAAATAATCAATTAGTTTATTATATTATAAAGTTTAAATATATTAATTATTTTACTTTTTATAGCATTTGTAGTCATAGCTTTTTCTCATATGAAAATCAACATATATTTTCTTAAGAAGGTTTGGTGTTGGGTAAGAGTGGAAATATGCTGGGTCGAGTTAGGTTTTGCCAAACCTAAGACTGATTTGTTAAAAAATTCAAAGCTGAAATCTGGTCTTTAGTATATCATAGGCTTATTTTTAGGCCTGAACTTGACCTTTTTGAAGGCATGATTGACCTACTGACCTACTTCATTTGAACATTTGTAAATAAGAAATTTAACTAATGTTAAATAGACTAACAAATTAAAAGATCAATGAGACTAAATGTTTCTTTTTATTATCTCATTCAAATTTACCTATAAGTATAAGTTTGGTGATACTATTCGTTGGAGAGAACTTATGAAAAAAACTTATGACAATAACTTATGACGTTGTTTATAATGTTTTTTCAACTGATTGTCATAAGTTCTTCAAGATAATTAAGTTTTATTTTCATATTTTAATTTAAAGCACAAAATACAATATAATAATAGTAAATTTATTGAATTTTTTATTTTAAATAGGCCGACCGAATAAGTTTAAAAAGTTTTTCTTACGGTACCGTAGGCGCCTGTTAGATAGTCTGATTTATTCTCACTCTTAGTGTTAGAGAACACAACCGCATATACTTTTATCGGTTTCAATTCTATTGTTTTTAAAATTTCTTCATGCGAATTAAAAAAGGTGAAAATAAAGATTAAATAAGCTTTTATACCTACAAATATACAATTTTCTCAATTTATTAATATAGTGTTTGAACGAAGAATTTTAACATGTGATCTATGAGGAAAATTTAAAATAATTCAAACAAAATTTATTATTTGGGTAAAAAAATATAAAAAATGATTAAAATGGTGAGAATCTATAAATTATTTTATTTAAGATAAAATTTTGGAATAATATTTAAAATCAAAAAATTTCAAATTCATTTTATACACAGATAAATTTGAATGTCAAATTGATTAATGTTATTATTTCAAATTTTACAAAGTGATCTCTATATTTTCTAAAACTTTAAAATTGATTCTTAAAAATTGCAAATTAATCCTTTATAATTTTCAAATTTTATAAATTAGTCTTTTAATTTTTAAAAATTGCAAATAATCCCAAATTTTTAAATTTAAAATTTATGAAAATGATTCCTAAAATTTACAAAGATTCATATTAAGAACTTATCCAAACAAAAGAATTTTAAAATTGATTGAATTTCAATTTAATCATTTAAATAATTTAAACTTTTATAAGTTTTTAAAAAATTTCAATTACCACTTTTAGACGGACTCTAAAAGTTTTCTATTAGCCAATATTTTTTCAAAAACAATAGTTCTATAAAATAAATTAAATTTGACATTGTACATATATTATAAAAGATGTTATGTTTATGAGAATAACTTTTTTTATATATCAATTTTATTAATATATTTTTTTAGTCTCTACATACAATTCCTTTGGGCAACATTTAAGGGCGATGAGTAATTTTGATGATAGAAAATATTTGAAGACCATTGTTTAAAATTATTTTTAAAAGGACTTAAATACAAAAATATGTTATATTTATATAGACAAATAATTTATTTATTTAAAAATAAATAAATTAATATTCGATTAAATCTACTTTTAATAAAATAAATACTAAATGAACAAAAATATGTTAATTTTTTTAGTTATCCATAGGAATACTATTTGCTTTGGTGAGGTTAACAATAGAGATAAAGTTGTAGACAACACCATGAATTGTATTATACAAAGAATGTGGTTGAAACTTCATCCTATCCTAAGAAACATGTTAGCATTCTCATAATGCCTTAATTGGCTTGTTTGTGATGGTGGTTGGATCGTTTGACCACCGTGGTTTATAATCATTTTTGGCATAGTAATATATTTTACTTTCTTTTTAAATAATAATAATAATAATAATAATAAATATTTAAAAATTACAAAATTGATAGTAAATTGATATTATTAATAAAAAAGAAACAAATATTTTAAAATAGTATTAATTATACAATCTGTCCTAAAATAATTGAATTCTTTTTAGTATAACATAATTTAATCTTTTTTTCACTTATATTATTAATTAATTCTCCACTTAAATTATTAATTATTTTTTTAAGAAAACAAACTTTGATTACTCTAAAACAAGGCGATCGCTAAGATACAGTCCGTAAAAAGCGACAAACTACCAAAAAAAAAAATAGCTAAAACATCACCAATCTAGCTATGAGTTTTCTAATTTTCTACTATACCACCTTCTATATACAATAATATCAACTATTTCCCCCTTAAATTGTTTTCAACACACTTTGAAATTCCTATAGTTTCAAATATCATAAATATATTATTAATTAATTAATTTAATTAATTACATTCTACTTTAAGAAAAATATATTTACTCCATTTTAAAATAAATGTCATATTTGACACCTTTGATAAATGTAATAAATAAAGGGGAGAATAATGATTTTATTAAATTATTCTTATCAACTATTAATAGATTCAAATTAGCATTAATGCAAAATTAGAAAATAATAAATTAAAAATATTAATTGAATAATACAATTAAAAGATAAAATTAAAGTTATATTAGTAAACAATTTTTATTAGACGTAACACCTATATTTTAAGACGAAGGTGGTATTACCGGATTTATTGCATGGATATAATCTACATATATGTATTTTGTTGGTCCAAAATTCTAGTGTCATTTTCTATTTTTTAAATATGTTAACGTAAATAAGTTCAAATTATTGATATTTATAAATAAAAAAAATTATAATGTGACATAAAAAATGAAATATAATCTTAATAATAATAATAATAATAATAGAGTTTAGAGTCTTGCTATTGAATGTCTCCAGAGTGTCTCAGGAGTAAGAGTGCCGGTGCCGAGAGTATTCGTTAATGAGTGCTTCCGGAGAAAGAGTGTCCGGGAGGATTTGCTAACATTTTTTTTATAATACTAATAATAGTGTGACAGATAGAAATGAAGATATAATTGTGATTGCATCGGCATACTCTCAAATCTCGAGGTCAATAGCAGGCATCGGAATACGCAACCTTGATAAAAGCATATTGAAAATATATTGACTTAAAACGCATCTACCCTCACAACTCAACAAGGTCATACTTACCGTTACACTTTTCATCTCTACTCAAATGAAATATCACTAGTTAACCAATTTTTTATTACATAACTCATCACTTTCTTAGTTTTAATTTTCTGTAATAACAGAAAACAAACAATGCAGTATTAAAAAATCTACGATCTACTTCGGGTGAGAAAAAGTGAAATAAAAGTGAAACTCGATTATCCTTCCAAGGAGTTCTTTTCTATTTTACTACTATATTATTATATTATTTCAAGCACTTGAGTACAATAGAGTAATTCACTTTCCTTTACG